GGATTATGCTTTATTTAATATCCAGAGTTGTATAGTAACGAAGTAGAACTACTTCACTACTGTACTTAAAGTAGTACTAAAAGNGCTGTCTCTGTACTCTACTGGAGTATTGTTTTTTTTCCTACTTCCACTTTTACTTCAGTACATATTTTCGATGATTAATAATGGGACTAAGCCAAAAAGAAAGGACTGAATGAATAAACTCAGCAGCTGGTTATAGTTGGCGGTTCATTCCGCTGTGGCGCCCCCAGATTAATAATGAGACTAAGCCAAAAAGAAAGGACTGAATGAATAAACTCAGCAGCTGGTTATAGTTGGCGGTTCATTCCGCTGTGGCGCCCCCAGATTAATAATGAGACTAAGCCAAAAAGAAAGGACTGAATGAATAAACTCAGCAGCTGGTTATAGTTGGCGGTTCATTCCGCTGTGGCGACCCCAGATTAATAATGAGACTAAGCCAAAAAGAAAGGACTGAATGAATAAACTCAGCAGCTGGTTATAGTTGGCGGTTCATTCCGCTGTGGCGACCCCAGATTAATAATGAGACTAAGCCAAAAAGAAAGGACTGAATGAATAAACTCAGCAGCTGGTTATAGTTGGCGGTTCATTCCGCTGTGGCGACCCCAGATTAATAATGAGATTAAGCCAAAAAGAAAGGACTGAATGAATAAACTCAGCAGCTGGTAATCCAATTACAAAAGTTACCTAAGACTGTGGGGGAAACCGGAGCTACCGGAGGAAACCCACGCCAACACGAGGAGAACATGCAAACTCCACACAGAAATTTTTATTTTTTATTAATTCTATGTTAATTTTCCTTCTGAATTCCTTATTTATCAGGGGTCACCACAGCAGAATGAACCGCCAACTAATCCAGCATGTGTTTTATGCAGCAGATGCACTTCCAGCCGCAACGAAGTACTGAGAGGCACCCATACACTCTCACATTCACACACTCAGTCGTACACTACGTATAATTTAGTTTACCCTATTTACCTATAGCGCATTGGGTATATTCCCTCACAGTCCCCCTATAGTGAGGGTATACGGTGAGGGTATTTACTGTGGTGGGCACCCGGAGGAAACCCACGCCAATACGGGGAGAGCGTACAAACTCAACACAGAAATGCCAACATTTACCAGCAACCTCCTTGCTGTGAGTGCAAACTACTCAGTCACCGTGTCGCCTGTTTTATTATTATTGTTAGTTCAAATTAACTGATGGAATCGACTTATAAAGTGTAACCCAAAAAAAAAAAAGTCATTGATCTAAAGCAAAAAAATGAAAGGATAATAGAGGCGGCTCAGCGAGTGTGATGGATGTAGTGTTTTGCTCTGGGCGCTGATGTGTTTCATGCTCACGCTGTTCGCTTAGTCCCAGAGAGACTGATAAATGGTGTGTGTTTGTGTGTATGTGTGTATGTGTGTGTGTGTGTCACAACATATGCTGTTGGTGACATGATGCACAATCACCTGAGCGCAGCAGTATTAAGTGTCTTGAGTCCGGCAGTGTGGTGCAGGTCAGACATTAGTTGCGGCTTCAGATTGCATTAAACACACACTTCATCTGAGTGACCTGCAGCTCAACCTGCTCATTCAACTGAGGAGGAGAGCAGACCTGTAGGAGGAGAGAGTGTGTGTGTGTGTGTGTGTGTGTGTGTGTGTGTGTGTGTGTGTGTGTCTGTGTGTGTGTGACTGTGTATTTCTCTATGTGTATGCATATGTGTTTTTTTGTGTGTGTGTGTGTGTGTGTGTGTGTGTGTTCATGTTTTTGTGTGTGTGTTGGGTTTGCATGTACGTCTATGTATATGTGTGTGTGTGTGTGTGTGTGTGTGTGTGTAAGTGTGTGTGTGTGTGTAAGNTGTGTGTGTGTCTGTATGTACGGCTGTGNTTTGCGTGTGTTTTGCAGGGTAAGTTGTG